ACATTATGACAGGATACAGGGATGATATTAATCACACTCTTCCCCTCTTCTATGCAATGTCTCTTTTCTCTGCTTACATTATGACAGGATACAGGGATGATATTAATGTCACACTCTTCCCTCCTATATACTATGTCTCTTTTTCTCTGCTTACATTATGACAGGATACAGGGATGATATTAAGCACACTCTTCCCTCCTATATACTATGTCTCTTTTTCTCTGCTTACATTATGACAGGATACAGGGATGATATTAAGCACACTCTTCCCTCTTCTATGCTATGTCTCTTTTTCTCTGCTTACATTATGACAGGATACAGGGATGATATTAAGCACACTCTTCCCTCTTCTATGCTATGTCTCTTTTTTCTCTGCTTACATTATGACAGGATACAGGGATGATATTAACACTCTTCCCTCTTCTATGCTATGTCTCTTTTTCTCTGTTTACATTATGACAGGATACAGGGATGATATTAAGCACACTCTTCCTCTTCTATGCTATGTCTCTTTTTCTCTGCTTACATTATGACAGGATACAGGGATGATATTAAGCACACTCTTCCCCTCTTCTATGCAATGTCTCTTTTCTCTGTTTTACATTATGACAGGATACAGGGATGATATTAAGCACACTCTTCCCTCTTCTATGCTATGTCTCTTTTTCTCTGCTTACATTATGACAGGATACAGGGATGATATTAAGCACACTCTTCCCTCTTCTATGCAATGTCTCTTTTTTTCTGCTTACATTATGACAGGATACAGGGATGATATTAAGCACCTCTTCCCCCTCTTCTATGCTATGTCTCTTTTTCACTGCTTACATTATGAAAGGATACAGGGATGATATTAAGCACACTCTTCCCACTTCTCTGCTATGTCTCTTTTTCTCTGCTTACATTATGACAGGATACAGGGATGATATTAAGCACACTCTTCCCACTTCTATGCTGTGTCTCTTTTTCTCTGCTTACATTATGACAGGATACAGGGATGATATTGACTATGGATACATGACAGGATGATATTAAGCACCTCTTCCCTTCTATCTATGTCTCTTTTCTCTCTTTTTGACAGGATCTAGCAACACACTCTTCCCTCTTCTATGTTATGTCTCTTTTCTCTGCTTACATTATGACAGGATACAGGGATGATATTAAGCACACTCTTCCCTCTTCTATGCAATGTCTCTTTTCTCTGCTTACATTATGACAGGATACAGGGATGATATTAAGCACACTCTTCCCTCTTCTGTATGCTGTCTCTTTTCTCTTTCTTGTTTATTATGACAGGATACAGGGATGATATTAAGCACACTCTTCCCCCTCTTCTATGCTATGTCTCTTTCTCTCTTACATTATGACAGGATACAGGGGATGATATTAGCTCTTCCCCTCTTCTATAATGTCTCTTTTCTCTGCTTACTGACAGGATACAGGGATGATATTAATCACTCTCTTCCCCTCTTCTATTTTTGTCTCTTTTTCTCTGCTTACATTATGACAGGATACAGGGATGATATTAAGCACACTCTTCCCTCTTCTATGCTATGTCTCTTTTTCTCTGCTTACATTATGACAGGATACAGGGATGATATTAAGCACACTCTTCCCTCTTCTATGCAATGTCTCTTTTTCTCTGCTTACATTATGACAGGATACAGGGATGATATTAAGCACACTCTTCCCCTCTTCTATGCTATGTCTCTTTTTCTCTGCTTACATTATGACAGGATACAGGGATGATATTAAGCACACTCTTCCCTCTTCTATGCTATGTCTCTTTTTCTCTGCTTACATTATGACAGGATACAGGGATGATATTAAGCACACTCTTCCCTCTTCTATCTATGTCTCTCTTTTTCTCGGCTTACATTATGACAGGATACAGGGATGATATTAACACACTCTTCCCTCTTCTATGCTATGTCTCTTTTTCTCTGCTTACATTATGACAGGATACAGGGATGATATTAAGCACACTCTTCCCTCTTCTATGCTATGTCTCTTTTTCTCTGCTTACATTATGACAGGATACAGGGATGATATTAAGCACCTCTTCCCTCTTCTATGCTATGTCTCTTTTTCTCTGCTTACATTATGACAGGATACAGGGATGATAAGCACACTCTTCCCACTTCTACGCTATGTCTCTTTTTCTCTGCTTATATTATGAAAGGATACAGGGATGATATTAAGGATACTCTTCCCTTCTTGTATGCTATGTCACATTTTCTCTGCTTACATTATGACAGGATACAGGGATGATATTAAGCTTACTCTTCCCTCTTCTATGCTATGTCTCTTTTCTCTGCTTACATTATGACAGGATACAGGGGATGATATTAAGCACACTCTTCCCTCTTCTATGCTATGTCTCTTTTTCTCTGCTTACATTATGACAGGATACAGGGATGATATTAAGCACCTCTACCCCTCTTCTATGCTATGTCTCTTTTTTCTCTGCTTACATTATGACAGGATACAGGGATGATATTAAGCACACTCTTCCCTCTTCTATGCTATGTCTCTTTTTCTCTGCTTACATTATGACAGGATACAGGGATGATATTAAGCACACTCTTCCCCCTCTATCTATGTCTTTTTTTCTCTGCTTACATTATGACAGGATACAGGGATGATATAGCACACTTCCCCCCTCTCTTCCCTTTTCTTCTATGACAGGATACAGGGATGATCTAACTCTTTTTCTCTGTCTCTTTTCTCTGTTTACATAATGACAGGATACAGGGATGATATTAATCACACTCTTCCCCTCTTCGCTATGTCAGGGATCTCTGCTTACATTATGACAGGATACAGGGATGATATTAAGCACACTCCCCCCTCTTATATGTCTTTTTCTCTGCTTACATTATGACAGGATACAGGGATGATCACACACACTCTTCCCCTCTTCTATGCAATGTCTCTTTTCTCTGTTTTACATAATGACAGGATACAGGGATGATATTAAGCACACTCTTCCCTCTTCTATGCTATGTCTCTTTTTCTCTGCTTACATTATGACAGGATACAGGGATGATATTAAGCACACTCTTCCCTCTTCTATACTTTATGTCTCTTTTCTCTGCTTACATTATGACAGGATACAGGGATGATATTATGCACACTCTTCCCTCTTCTATGCATGTCTCTTTTTCTCTGCTTACATTATGACAGGATACAGGGATGATATTAAACACTCTCTTCCCTCTTCTATGCAATGTCTCTTTTCTCTGCTTACATTATGACAGGATACAGGGATGATATTAAGCACACTCTTCCCCTCTTCTATGCTATGTCTCTTTTCTCTGCTTACATTATGACAGGATACAGGGATGATATTAAGCACACTCTTCCCCTCTTCTATTCTATGTCTCTTTTCTCTGCTTACATAATGACAGGATACAGGGATGATATTAAGCATGACTCTTCCCTCTTCTATGCTATGTCTCTTTTCTCTGCTTACATAATGACAGGATACAGGGATGATATTAAGCACACTCTTCCCTCTTCTATGCTATGTCTCTTTTCTCTGCTTACATTATGACAGGATACAGGGATGATATTAATGACACTCTTCCCCTCTTCTATGCTATGTCTCTTTTCTCTGCTTACATTATGACAGGATACAGGGGATGATATTAAGCACACTCTTCCCTCTTCTATGCAATGTCTCTTTTTTCTCTGCTTACATTATGACAGGATACAGGGATGATATTAAGCACACTCTTCCCCTCTATTCTATGCAATGTCTCTTTTTCTCTTTTACATTATGACAGGATACAGGGATGATATTAAGCACACTCTTCCCCTCTTCTATGCTATGTCTCTTTTTCTCTCTTACATTATGACAGGATACAGGATGATATTAAGCACACTCTTCCTCTTCTATGCTATGTCTCTTTTCTCTCTTACATTATGACAGGATACAGGGATGATATTAAGCACACTCTTCCCTCTTCTATGCAATGTCTCTTTTCTGCTTACATTATGACAGGATACAGGGATGATATTAAGCACCTCTTCCCCTCTTCTATGCTATGTCTCTTTTCTCTGCTTATATTATGACAGGATACAGGGGATGATATTAAGCACACTTCTTCCCCTCTTCTATGCAATGTCTCTTTTTTCTCTGCTTACATTATGACAGGATACAGGGGATGATATTAAGGACACTCTTCCCTCTTCTATGCTATGTCTCTTTTTCTCTGCTTACATTATGACAGGATACAGGGATGATATTAAGCACCTCTTCCCTCTTCTATGCTGTGTCTCTTTTCTCTGCTTACATTATGACAGGATACAGGGATGATATTAAGCACACTCTTCCCTCTTTATTCTATGTCTCTTTTTACATTTACATTATGACAGGATACAGGGATGATATTAAACACTCTCTATGCAATGTCCTCACTTCTATGCATTGGGGGATGTCTCTTTTTCTCTGTTTTTTCTCTGATTATGGGATACAGGGATGATTAAGCACCTCTTCCCCTCTTCTATGCTATGTCTCTTTTTCTCTGCTTACATTATGACAGGATACAGGGGATGATATTGCATACCTCTTCCCCTCTTCTATGCTATGTCTCTTTTTCTCTGCTTACATTATGACAGGATACAGGGATGATATTAAGCACTCTTCCCTCTTCTATGCTATGTCTCTTTTTCTCTTTCTTACATTATGACAGGATACAGGGATGATATTAAGCACCTCTTCCCTCTTCACAATGTCTCTTTTCTTCCCCACTTTATGACAGGATACGGGGGATTACTCTTGTCTCTTTTTCTCTGCTTACATTATGACAGGATACAGGGATGATATTAAGCACCTCTTCCCCTCTTCTATGCAATGTCTCTTTTTCTCTGCTTACATTATGACAGGATACAGGGATGATATTAAACACTCTTCCCTCTTCTATGCTATCTCTTTTTCTCTGCTTACATTATGACAGGATACAGGGATGATATTAAGCACATTCTACCCCTCTTCTATGCAATGTCTCTTTTTCTCTGCTTACATTGTGACAGGATACAGGGATGATATTAAGCACATTCTTCCCTCCTATATACTATGTCTCTTTTTCTCTGCTTACATTATGACAGGATACAGGGATGCTATTAAGCACACTCTTCCCTCCTATATACTATGTCTTTTTTTCTCGGCTTACATTATGACAGGATACAGGGATGATATTAACACTCTTCCCTCTTCTATGCTATGTCTCTTTTTCTCTGCTTACATTATGACAGGATACAGGGATGATATTAAGCACACTCTTCCCTCTTCTATGCAATGTCTCTTTTTCTCTGCTTACATTATGACAGGATACAGGGATGATATTAAGCACACTCTTCCCTCTTCTATGCAATGTCTCTTTTTCTCTGCTTACATTATGACAGGATACAGGGATGATATTAAGCACCTCTTCCCTCTTCTATGCTATGTCTCTTTTTCTCTGCTTACATTATGACAGGATACAGGGATGATATTAAGCACACTCTTCCCTCTTCTATGCTATGTCTCTTTTTTCTCTGCTTACATTATGACAGGATACAGGGGATGATATTAAGCACACTCTTCCCTCTTCTATGCTATGTCTCTTTTTCTCTGCTTACATTATGACAGGATACAGGGATGATATTAAGCACACTCTTCCCTCTTCTATGCTATGTCTCTTTTCTCTGCTTACATTATGACAGGATACAGGGATGATATTAGCACACTCTTCCCTCTTTCTATGCTATGTCTCTTTTTCTCTGCTTACATTATGACAGGATACAGGGATGATATTAAGCACACTCTTCCCCTCTTCTATGCTATGTCTCTTTTTCTCTGCTTACATTATGACAGGATACAGGGGATGATATTAAACTTCCTCCCCATTTTCTCTCTTCTACTCTTCTCTTTTTCCTCTTCTATGACAGGATACTATTAAGCACACTCTTCCTCTTCTTTCTCTGTCTCTTTTCTCTGCTTACATTATGACAGGATACAGGGATGATATTAAGCACCTCTTCCCCTCTTCTATGACAGGCTATGTCTCTTTTTTCTCTGCTCTTTACATTATGACAGGATACAGGATGAGGGATATATAAGGCTCACTCTTCCCTCTTCTATGCTATGTCTCTTTTTTCTGCTTATTATGACAGGATACAGGGATGATATTTCCTCTTCTCTTCCTTCTTCTATGCTATGTCTCTCTTTTCTCTGCTTTTCTCTGCTTACATTATGACAGGATACAGGGATGATATAAGCACCTCTTCCCCTCTTCTTGCTACCGTGTCTCTTTTCTCTCTTCCCTCTTCTCCTATGTCTCTTCTTTTCTCTCTCTTACATTATGACAGGATACAGGGATGATATTAAGCACACTCTTCCCTCTTCTATGCTATGTCTCTTTTCTCTGCTTACATTATGACAGGATACAGGGGATGATATTAAGCACACTCTTCCCTCTTCTATGCTATGTCTCTTTTTCTCTGCTTACATTATGACAGGATACAGGGATGATATTAAGCACACTCTTCCCTCTTCTATGCTATGTCTCTTTTTCTGCTCTGCTTACACCTCTTCCTTCTTTATGACAGGATACAGGGATGATATTAGGCACTCTTCCCCCTCTTCTATGCTATGTCTCTTTTTCTCTGCTTACATTATGACAGGATACAGGGATGATATTAAGCACACTCTTCCCTCTTCTATGCTATGTCTCTTTTCTCTGCTTACATTATGACAGGATACAGGGATGATATTAAGCACCTCTTCCCTCTTCTATGCTATGTCTCTTTTCTCTGCTTACATTATGACAGGATACAGGGGATGATAATAATGCACACTCTTCCCTCTTCTATGCTATGTCTCTTTTTCTCTGCTTACATTATGACAGGATACAGGGATGATATTAAGCACACTCTTCCCCCTCTTCTATGCAATGTCTCTTTTTCTCTGCTTATATTATGACAGGATACATGGATGATATTAAGCACACTCTTCCCTCTTCTATGCTATGTCTCTTTTCTCTGCTTACATTACTTCCCTCTTCTATTGACAGGATACAGGGATGATATTAAGCACCTCTTCCCTCTTCTATGCTATGTCTCTTTTCTCTGCTTTACATTATGACAGGATACAGGGATGATATTAAGCACACTCTTCCCCTCTTCTATGCTATGTCTCTTTTTCTCTGCTTACATTATGACAGGATACAGGGATGATATTAAGCACCTCTCCCCCTCTTCTATGCTATGTCTCTTTTTCTCTGCTTACATTATGACAGGATAAAGGGATGATATTAAGCATACTCTTCCCCTCTTGTATGCTATGTCACTTTTTCTCTGCTTACATTATGACAGGATACAGGGATGATATTAACACTCTTCCTTCTTCTATGCTGTGTCTCTTTTTCTCTGCTTATATTATGACAGGATACAGGGATGATATTAAGCTCCTCTTCCCTCTTCTATGCTATGTCTCTTTTTCTCTGCTTACATTATGACAGGATACAGGGATGATATTAAACACACTCTTCCCTCTTCTATGCTATGTCTCTTTTTTCTCTGCTTACATTATGACAGGATACAGGGATGATATTCTCTTCCCTCTTCTATGCTATGTCTCTTTTTCTCTGCTTACATTATGACAGGATACAGGGATGATATTAAGCACACTCTTCCCTCTTCTATGCTATGTCTCTTTTCTCTGCTTACATTATGACAGGATACAGGGATGATATTAAGCTCCTCTTCCTCTTCTACTATGTCTCTTCCTCTTCTATGCACACTCTTCCCTGTCTCTTTTTCTCTGCTTACATTATGACAGGATAAGGGATGATATTAAGCACCTCTTCCCTCTTCTACAATGTCTCTTCTTTTTATGACAGGATACAGGATGATGTCTCTTCCTTCTTCTCTGTCTCTTTTTCTCTACATTATGACAGGATACAGGGATGATATTAAGCACACTCTTCCTCTTCTATGCTATGTCTCTTTTTCTCTGCTTACATTATGACGGGATACAGGGGATGATATTAAGCACACTCTTCCCCTCTTCTATGCTATGTCTCTTTTTCTCTGCTTACATTATGACAGGATACAGGGATGATATTAAACACCTCTTCCCTCTCTTCTATGCTCTGTCTCTTTTCTCTGCTTACATTATGACAGGATACAGGGATGATATTAAAGCACACTCTTCCCTCTTCTATGCTATGTCTCTTTTTCTCTGCTTACATTATGACAGGATACAGGGGATGATATTAAGCACACTCTTCCCTTCTTCTATGCTATGTCTCTTTTTTCTCTGTTTACATTATGACAGGATACAGGGATGATATTAACACACACTCTTCCCTCTTCTGTACTATGTCTCTTTTCTCTGCTTTATTATGACAGGATACAGGGGGATGATATTAAGCAGGATACAGGGATGATAAGCACACTCTTCCCTCTTCTATGCTATGTCTCTTTTTCTCTGCTTACATTATGACAGGATACAGGGATGATATTAGCACACTCTTCCCTCTTCTATGCTATGTCTCTTTTCTCTGCTTACATTATGACAGGATACATGGATGATATTAAGCACACTCTTCCCTCTTCTATGCTATGTCTCTTTTCTCTCTTACATTATGACAGGATACATGGGATGATATTAAGCTACATTGTGACTCTTCCCTTCTTCTATGCTATGTCTCTTTTCTCTGTTTACATAATGACAGGATACAGGGATGATAGTAAGCACACTTTCTTCCTTCTTCTTTTATGTCTCTTTTTCTCTCTTCTATGCAGGATATGTCTCTTTTCTCTGCTTACATTATGACAGGATACAGGGGATGATATTAAGCACACTCTTCCTTCTTCTATGCTATGTCTCTTTTTTCTCTGCTTACATTATGACAGTATACAGGGATGATATTAAGCACACTCTTCCCTCTTCTATGCTATGTCTCTTTTCTCTGTTTACATTATGACAGGATACAGGGATGATAATACACACTCTTCCCTCTTCTATGCAATGTCTCTTTTTCTCTGCTTACATTATGACAGGATACAGGGATGATATTAAGCACCTCTTCCCTCTTCTATGCTATGTCTCTTTTTTCTCTACTTACATTATGACAGGATACAAGGGATGATATTAAGCACCTCTTCCCTCTTCTATGCTATGTCTCTTTTTCTCTGCTTACATTATGACAGGATACAGGGGATGATATTAATCACACACTCTTCCCTCTTCTATGCTATGTCTCTTTTCTCTGCTTACATTATGACAGGATACAGGGATGATATTAAAGCGACTCTTCCCTCTTCTATGCAATGTCTCTTTTTCTCTGTTTACATTATGACAGGATACAGGGATGATATTAATCACACTCTTCCCTCTTCTGTCCGATGTCTCTTTTCTCTCTTCTTGACAGGATACAGGGATGATATTGTCTCCTTTTTCTCTGTCTCTTTTCATTATGACAGACAGGATGGAGGGATGATATTACTCTTCCCTCTTCACTTGTCTCTTTTTCCTCTTCAGGGGATGATATTAAGCACACTCTTCCTCTTCTATGCTATGTCTCTTTTTCTCTAACACATTATGACAGGATACCAGGGATGATATTAAGCACCTCTTCCCTCTTCTATGCAATGTCTCTTTTTCTCTGTTTACATTATGACAGGATACGGGGGATGATATTAAGCACCTCTTCCCCTCTTCTATGCTATGTCTCTTTTTCTCTGCTTACATTATGACAGGATACAGGGATGATATTAATCACACTCTTCCCCCTCTTCTATGCTGTGTCTCTTTTCTCTGCTTTTATTATGACAGGATACAGGGATGATATTAGGCACACTCTTCCCTCTTCTATTCTATGTCTCTTTTTCTCTGCTTACATTATGACAGGATACAGGGGATGATATTAAGCACTCTTCTTCCCTCTTCTATGCACTTCCCTCTTCTGTGCTATGTCTCTTTTTCTCTGCTTACATTATGACAGGATACAGGGATGATATTAAGCACACTCTTCCCCTCTTCTATGCAATGTCTCTTTTTTCTATACAATATCTCTTTTCTCTGCTTACATTATGACAGGATACATGCTATCTCTTTTTCTCTGGGATGATGATAAAGCACACTCTTCCCTCTTCTTCTGTCTCTTTTCTGTCTCATTTTTCTCACACTTTCTTCTATGCTATGACTTTTTCTCTGGGATGACAGGATAAAGGATGATATTAGGCACTCTTCCCTCTTCTATGCTCTGTCTCTTTTCTCTGCTTACATTATGACAGGATACAGGATGATATTAACACACACTCTCCCCTCTTCTATGCAATGTCTCTTTTCTCTGTTTACATTATGACAGGATACAGGGATGATATTAAGCCCACTCTTCCCTCTTCTATGCTATGTCTCTTTTTTCTCTGCTTACATTATGACAGGATACAGGGATGATGATAAGCACACTCTTCCCCTCTTCTATGCAATGTCTCTTTTTCTCTGTTTACATAATGACAGGATACAGGGATGATATTACACACACTCTTCCCTCTTCTATGCTATGTCTCTTTTTCTCTGCTTACATTATGACAGGATACAGGGATGATATTAAGCACACTCTTCCCTCTTCTATGCTATGTCTCTTTTTCTCTGCTTACATTATGACAGGATACAGGGATGATATTAGGCACACACTTCCCTCTTCTATGCTATGTCTCTTTTCTCTGCTTACATTATGACAGGATACAGGATGATATTAAGCACACTCTTCCCTCTTCTATGCAATGTCTCTTTTCTCTGCTTACATTATGACAGGATACAGGGATGATATTAAGCACACTCTTCCCTTCTTCTATAATGTCTCTTTTTTTCTCTGCTTACATTATGACAGGGATACAGGGATGATATTAAGCACACTCTTCCCCTCTTCTATGCTATGTCTCTTTTTCTCTGCTTACATTATGACAGGATACAGGGATGATATTAAGCACACTCTTCCCCTCTTCTATGCTATGTCTCTTTTCTCTGCTTACATTATGACAGGATACAGGGATGATATTAAGCACACACTCTTCCCTCTTCTATACAATGTCTCTTTTTCTTACACATTATGACAGGATACAGGGATGATATTAAGCACACTCTTCCTTCTTCTATTCTATGTCTCTTTTTCTCTGCTTACATTATGACAGGATACAGGGATGATATGGACACTCTTCCCCTCTTCTATGCAATGTCTCTTTTCTCTGCTTACATTATGACAGGATACAGGGATGATATTAATCACACTCTTCCCCTCTTCTATGCTATGTCTCTTTTCTCTGCTTACATTATGACAGGATACAGGGATCATATTAAGCACACTCTTCCCTCTTCTATGCTATGTCTCTTTTTCTTTGCTTATATTATGACAGGATACAGGGATGATATTAAACACACTCTTCCCCTCTTCTATGCTATGTCTCTTTTTCTCTGCTTACATTATGACAGGATACAGGGATGATATTAAGCACCTCTTCCCTCTTCTATGCTATGTCTCTTTTCTCTGCTTACATTATGACAGGATACAGGGATGATATTAAGCACACTCTTCCCTTCTTCTATGTTATGTCTCTTTTTCTCTGCTTACATTATGACAGGATACAGGGATGATATTAAGCTCACTCTTCCCTCTTCTATGCTATGTCTCTTTTCTCTGCTTACATTATGACAGGGATACATGGATGATATTAAACCTCTCTCCCCCTCTTCTATGCTATGTCTCTTTTTTCTCTGCTTTTACATTATGACAGGATACAGGGATGATATAAGCACCTCTTCCCCCTCTTCCAATGTCTCTTTTTTCTGCTTACATTTATGACAGGATACAGGGATGATTTCTCTTTTCTTCTATGCTATGTCTCTTTTTTCTCTGCTTACATTATGACAGGATACAGGGGATGATATTAAACACCTCTTCCCTCTTCTATGCTATGTCTCTTTTCTCTGCTTACATTATGACAGGATACAGGATGATATTAATCACACTCTTCCCTCTTCTATGCTATGTCTCTTTTTCTCTGCTTACAGGATTATGACAGGATACAGGGGATGATATTAAGCACACTCTTCCCTCTTCTATGCTATGTCTCTTTTCTCTGCTTACATTCTCTGTTTGACAGGATACAGGGGATGCACACTCTTCCCTCTTCTATGCTCTCTCCCCTCTTCTATGCTATGTCTCTTTTCTCTGCTTACATTATGACAGGATACAGGGGATGATATTAAGCACACTCTTCCCTCTTCTATGCTATGTCTCTTTTCTCTGCTTACATTATGACAGGATACAGGGATGATATTAAGCACACTCTTCCCCTCTTCTATGCAATGTCTCTTTTCTCTGCTTACATTATGACAGGATACAGGGATGATATTAAGCACCTCTTCCCTCTTCTATGCTATGTCTCTTTTTCTCTGCTTACATTATGACAGGATACAGGGATGATATTAGCACACTCTTCCCTCTTCTATGCTATGTCTCTTTTTCTCTGCTTACATTATGACAGGATACAGGGATGATATTAAGCACACTCTTCCCTCTTCTATGCTATGTCTCTTTTTCTCTGCTTACATTATGACAGGATACAGGGATGTCTCTTTTTCTCTGCACACTCTTCCCCCTCTTCTATGCTATGTCTCTTTTTCTCTGCTTACATTATGACAGGATACAGGGATGATATTAAGCACACTCTTCCTTCTTCTATGCTATGTCTCTTTTTCTCTGCTTACATTATGACAGGATACAGGGATGATATTAAACACACTCTTCCCCTCTTCTATGCTATGTCTCTTTTTCTCTGCTTACATTATGACAGGATACAGGGATGATATTAAGCTCACTCTTCCCTCTTCTATGCTATGTCTCTTTTTCTCTGCTTATATTATGACAGGATACTGGGATGATATTAGCCCTCTTCCCTCTTCTATCTTCTTTTCTCTGCTTACATTATGACAGGATACAGGGATATGTCTCTTTTTCTCTGCTTACATTATGACAGGATACAGGGATGATATTAAGCACACTCTCCATTCTTCTATGCTATGTCTCTTTTCTCTGCTTACATTATGACAGGATACAGGGATGATATTAAGCACCTCTTCCCCTCTTCTATGCAATGTCTCTTTTTCTCTGCTTACATTATGACAGGATACAGGGATGATATTAAGCACACTCTTCCCTCTTCTATGCAATGTGTCTCTTTTCTCTGCTTACATTATGACAGGATACAGGGGATGATATTATGTCTCTTTTCTCACCTCTTCCCCTCTTCTATGCAATGTCTTTTCTCTGCTTACATTATGACAGGATACGGGGATGATATTAAGCACACTCTTCCCCTCTTCTATGCAATGTCTCTTTTCTCTGCTTACATAATGACAGGATACAGGGATGATATTAAGCACACTCTTCCCCTCTTCTATGCAATGTCTCTTTTCTCTGCTTACATTATGACAGGATACAGGGATGATATTAAGCACCTCTTCCCTCTTCTATGCAATGTCTCTTTTTCTCTGCTTACATTATGACAGGATACAGGGATGATATTAAGCACACTCTTCCCCTCTTCTATGCAATGTCTCTTTTTCTCTGCTTACATTATGACAGGATACAGGGATGATATTAAGCACACTCTTCCCTCTTCTATGCTATGTCTCTTTTTCTCTGCTTACATTATGACAGGATACAGGGATGATATTAAGCACTCTTCCCTCTTCTATGCTATGTCTCTTTTTCTCTGCTTACATTATGACAGGATACAGGGATGATATTAAGCACACTCTACCCCTCTTCTATGCTATGTCTCTCTTTTTTCTCTGCTTACATTATGACAGGATACAGGGATGATATTAAGCACCTCTTCCCTCTTCTATGCAATGTCTCTTTTTCTCTGCTTACATTATGACAGGATACAGGGATGATATTAAGCACACTCTTCCCTCTTCTATGCAATGTCTCTTTTTCTCTGCTTACATTATGACAGGATACAGGGATGATATTAAGCACACTCTTCCCCTCTTCTATGCTATGTCTCTTTTTCTCTGCTTACATTATGACAGGATACAGGGATGATATTAAGCACACTCTACCCCTCTTCTATGCAATGTCTCTTTTTCTCTGCTTACATTATGACAGGATACAGGGATGATATTAAGCACACTCTTCCCTCTTCTATGCAATGTCTCTTTTTCTCTGCTTACATTATGACAGGATACAGGGATGATATTAAGCACTCTCTTACCCTCTTCTATGCAATGTCTCTTTTTCTCTGATTACATTATGACAGGATACAGGGATGATATTAAGCACACTCTTCCCTCTTCTATGCAATGTCTCTTTTTCTCTGCTTACATTATGACAGGATACAGGGATGATATTAAGCACCTCTTCCCTCTTCTATGCAATGTCTCTTTTTCTCTGCTTACATTATGACAGGATACAGGGATGATATTAATCACCTCACACCTCTACCCCCTCTTCTATGCAATGTCTCTTTTCTCTGCTTACATTATGACAGGATACAGGGGATGATATTAAGCCTCTTCCCTCTTCTATGCAATGTCTCTTTTCTCTGCTTACATTATGACAGGATACAGGGATGATATTAAGCACACTCTTCCCTCTTCTATGCAATGTCTCTTTTTCTCTGCTTACATTATGACAGGATACAGGGATGATATTAAGTACACTTTTCCCCTCTTCTATACAATGTCTCTTTTCTCTGCTTACATTATGACAGGATACAGGGATGATATTAAGCACCTCTTCCCTCTTCTATGCAATGTCTCTTTTCTCTGTTTACATTATGACAGGATACAGGGATGATATTAAGCACACTCTTCCCTCTTCTATGCAATGTCTTTTTTTTTATGACAGGATCTGCTTAGCCTCTTCCCATTCTATGCAATGTCTCTTTTCTCAGGATGACAGGGACAGGGATGATTAAGCACACTCTTCCCTCTTCTATGCAATGTCTCTTTTTCTCTGCTTACATTATGACAGGATACAGGGATGATATTAAGCACACTCTTCCCTCTTCTATGCAATGTCTCTTTTTTTCTGCTTACATTATGACAGGATACAGGGATGATATTAAGCACACTCTACCACTCTTCTACCACTTTTCTCTCTATGACTACAGGGATGTCTCTTTCTTCTCTATGTCTCTTTTTTACATTATGACAGGATACAGGGGATGATATTAAGCACCTCTTCCCTCTTCTATGCAATGTCTCTTTTCTCTGCTTACATTATGACAGGATACAGGGATGATATTAAGCACACTCTTCCCTCTTCTATGCAATGTCTCTTTTCTCTGCTTACATTATGACAGGATACAGGGATGATATTAAGCACCTCTTCCCTCTTCTATGCTATGTCTCTTTTTCTCTGCTTACATTATGACAGGATACAGGGATGATATTGCACTCTTCCCTCTTCTATGCAATGTCTCTTTTTTCTCTGCTTACATTATGACAGGATACAGGGATGATATTAAGCACACTCTTCCCTCTTCTATGCGGGATACAGGGAATGTCTCTTTTCTCTGCTTACATTATGACAGGATACAGGGATGATATTAAGCCTCTTCTATGCTATGTCTCTTCCCTCTTCTATGCAATGTCTCTTTTCTCTGTTTACATTATGACAGGATACAGGGATGATATTAAACACTCTTTCTCTCTTCTATGCAATGTCTCTTTTCTCTGTTTACATTATGACAGGATACAGGGATGATATTAAGCACACTCTTCCCCTCTTCTATGCAATGTCTCTTTTCTCTGCTTACATTATGACAGGATACAGGGATGATATTAAGCACCTCTTCCCTCTTCTATGCAATGTCTCTTTTCTCTGCTTACATTATGACAGGATACAGGGATGATATTAAGCACACTCTTCCCTCTTTTATGCTATCTCTTTTTCTCTGCTTACATAATGACAGGATACATGGATGATATTAAGCACCTCTTCCCCTCTTCTATGCTATGTCTCTTTTCTCTGCTTACATTATGACAGGATACAGGGATGATATTAAGCACACTACCCCTCTTCTATGCAATGTCTCTTTTTCTCTGCTTACATTATGACAGGTATACAGGGATGATATTTAGCACCTCTTCCCTCTTGTATGCTATGTCTCTTTTCTCTGTTTACATTATGACAGGATACAGGGATGATATTAACACACACTTCCCTCTTCTATGCTATGTCTCTTTTCTCTGCTTACATTATGACAGGATACAGGGATGATATTAAGCACACTCTTCCCTCTTCTATGCTCTGTCTCTTTTTCTCTGCTTACATTATGACAGGATACAGGGATGATATTAAGCACACTCTTCCTTCTTCTATGCTATGTCTCTTTTTCTCTGCTTACATTATGACAGGATAGAGGGATGATATTAAGCACACTCTTCCCTCTTCTATGCTATGTCTCTTTTTCTCTGCTTTCATTATGACAGGATACAGGGATGATATTAAGCACACTCTTCCCCTCTTCTATGCAATGTCTCTTTTTCTCTGTTTACATAATGACAGGATCCAGGGATGATATTACACACACTCTTCCCTCTGCTATACGATGTCTCTTTTTCCCTGCTTACATTATGACAGGATACAGGGATGATATTAAGCACACTCTACCCCTCTTCTATGCAATGTCTCTTTTTCTCTGTTTACATAATGACAGGATACAGGGATGATATTACACACACTCTTCCCTCTGCTATACGATGTCTCTTTTTCTCTGTTTACATTATGACAGGATACAGGGATGATATTAAGCACACTCTTCCCCTCATCTATGCTATGTCTCTTTTTCTCTGCTTACATTATGACAGGATACACGGATGATATTAAGCACACTCTTCCCTCTTCTATGCCATGTCTCTTTTTCTCTGCTTACATTATGACAGGATACAAGGATGATATTAAGCACACTCTTCCACTCTTCTATGCTCTGTCTCTTTTTCTTTGCTTACATTATGACAGGATACAGGGATGATATTAAGCACACTCTTCCCCTCTTCTATGCTATGTCTCTTTTTCTCTGCATATATTATGACAGGATACAGGGATGATATTAAGCACACTCTTCCCTTTTTTATCCCACAAATACAAAAATAGGGATGAGTTTGTGGAAAAATAAGGGTGAGTTGGATCAATGGATCAGAAATATTCCCATTAATTTCAATGGGGAGAAATGGTTTGAGATAAGAGTCTTAAGTTCAACCTTCTTGGAATGAATTCAACTCGTATCTCAAGGAATTACTGTAGTAATTTTTGCAGTTCCTTTGTTGCATAAAGCATATCATGGAAACATTGGTAAAAAATACTGATAAAATTGAGGATTTAAAAATGACATACATATTAGGCATCTAGTTCTGAATGACACAATCTAGGCAATATATTTCTGAGATGAGGTATTATGTACATATGACCACATATGGAGAGAGAAGGGAGATCACTGCCCTCTGTGGGATCAGGTTGAGATCATTGACAAGGAACACCATTGGAAAATTCGTAAACTTAAGGAATCAGCACATATGCTAGGCCACAAAAATCTCCTGAGCTGACCAAGCATAGAAATAATATAATATGGGAACTAGTAATAAGGAGTGCCAGAGAAAAGCAATGATAACAACATAGTTGCAATATGAGTTCTGGTAAAAACATGCAATGATAACAGCATAATTGCAATCTGAGCACTGGTAAAAATGGTTGCTGAAGACATTAGGTTTATAATACCCAGAAATTCATACCCAGATGTCCTCAAGGACACATGGCACAGTGGATAAAGGCGTTGGTTAGATCCAGTGACAGGACCCAAAGAGTGTCAGTTCAAAACCAGGTTAAGGCAGTGGAGAACTTTCAGAGGGAAATTAACAGGCGATAACTGATAACTGACATCCATCAAACATGGCACATGGAACTAGAACAGTCTACTCTGGTGAGTGAAATAAAGGGTTCAGTTTGACATTCCAACCACCTGAAGAAGGCTGGAGCATACAATGGCTGAAACGTTGTAATAAATATGGCGACAAAGATGAGGACAATAGTCCGAATAATGTAAATAATGTACAACTTCCCTTCTGCTCTTTTAATAGTTTTTTTTATGGAGTTAGAGGGAGAGAAATACTAATCCTTTATATTATAGACACAAAAAATATTATGACAAAACCTGTTTATAACACCTTTAACATTAAAAAAATTTCAAAGAAAATTTTAATCTGGTTGTCAGTGAAAACTCGGTGTTATTTTTATATACTTATTTTTTATTTATATGTGGCCATATAAGTATTTATTTTTCTTACTAACAATATCAGTCAATTTTTTTTAATTCCTGCTCTTCTTCTTTATGTGCCATGCCTCTTGAGATTGTAGGCGATCATGGCTCTCCACAATTTCCTCTTAATAAATTTTGTCTTTTCTTATCTCTCCTAAACCTTGTTCCAACATCCATTTACACAAGCTCATTCTTCTTCTTCTATGTACCGTGTGCCTTCAGGACGTAGGTAATCATGGCACTCCACAATTTCCTGTCCTTTGTAGCTCTTAATAAATTTTGTCTTTCTTATCTCTCCTAAACCTTGTTCCATCATCCATTTACACAAGCTCATTCTTTTTCTTCTATGTACCGTATGCCTTCAGGACGTAAGCAATCATGGCTCTCCACAATTTCCTGTCCTTTGTAGCTCTTAATAAATTTTGTCTTTTTCTTATCTCTCCTAAACCTTGTTCAATCATCCATTTACACAAGCTCATTCTTCTTCTTCTATGTATCGTGTGCCTTCAGGACGTAAGCGATCATGGCTCTCCACAATTTCCTGTCCTTTGTAACTCTTAATAAATTTTGTCCTTTTGTTCTACCATCTATTTACTCAAGCTCATTCTTCTGCTATATGCCATGTCTCTTCAGGATGTTGGCGATCATGGCTCTCCACAATTTCTTGTCCTTTGTAGCTCTTAATAAATTTTGTCTTTTTCTTATCTCTCCTAAACCTTGTTCCATCATCCATTTACTCAAGCTCATTCTTCTTCTTCTATGTATTGTGTGCCTTCAGGATGTAGGCAATCATGGCTCTCCACAATTTCCTGTCCTTTGTAACTCTTAATAAATTTTGTCTTTTTGCTATCTCTCCAAAACTCTGTTCTGCTAATCATTTAATCAAGCTCATTTTTCCTCTTCTATGTAGCATGTGCCTTCATGATGTAGGCGATCATGGCTCTCCACAATTTTGTTCATTTTATAGCTCTTAATAAATTTTGTCTTTTTCTTATCTCTCCTAAACCTTGTTCTGCTATCCATCTACTCATGCTCATTTTTCTTTTTGTTATCATTTTCTCTACAACTTTGTTGTTGCTTACATGTTCAGCCTATACTAAGGCAAATAAAATGAAAGTGTCTTATAAGAAGGTCCCCAGGAAAAAAAAAACTACATAAGGTCAAGAAAAGGAGAACTACTTCTCTGAATAGTTTTCAAAGAATAATTTGGTTCATTTTTTTAAGTATAGTTTGTGGTAACAGCAAAGATTAAATCAAGGACACTAGCTGAAAACTTATATTTGAGGTAGGAGTGACTGTGTTGTTCCTTTCAATTATCACCTGGTGGTTGTCTAAATTTTTCTGCATTGTTATTTCTGAACCAGGGAGACCTGAATTCCTGTAGCAGCTGTTTGTTAACTCTAAAAATCAAATCCAAGAGCCACTATAAATATCCTACAGGTAGGTTCCAAATATACTGCTTGGAATTTGGAGAGAAACCCTTTAATTCATTTTGGATGAAAAGCAAACACTGCCATAAATTTAAAAATTAAGCCGGAACCCATCACAGCATCTGCTTTCTCTCTAACAGCTTGATGTAAGTTCATTTAGTTGAAATTTCTTTTTTGTAAACTTTTAAATATATTTTCCATTTTTACTTTCAAGGAAGCATTGCCTTATGGCACCATATTATAACCAGTAGTCATCCAATCTACAGTAACCTACAATGAATAGCTCCAGATAAACTTCAAATGGCTAAAGCTGAATTTGGCCAAATGATGAAGCTAGAAATCATAAACCCTTCAAACAATAATGGGGCTTCTTTATTGTATCCCTTGCCATTGGAAGATTTTCCCTAATGTAAACACCAATGCCATACACATGTATCCTAGAATCTCTAAGAGAAAAATAGCCTGGAACAAAGAACTTGACTTGTGGCAAGTATAGAGTCTTCACCTTGCATACAAACATATACTATTTAACACTTACAAGACATAAAAGTAATCACTGAAATAGTTAAAATATTGACCATATGTTTGTGAAAAAGGTAATCAATAAGTTAAATGATTATGTGAATGAGGTTCAGAAAGGTAGATATAGGTTAGGTTTAAATTGAAAGAGTAATTAGCTGTTTCCTTATAAGGAAACATTTGTTATTCATTAGCTGAGCAGCCAGTGCTGCTCTCAGTTGAAATTTGTAAAATCTTTCTATTAAAAAGTTTTTCCAAAAAATAGATCTCTTAAGTTTATTAACTGTTATTGCTCTTTCAAGTACTGACTTGAAGTAGTGTGGAACATTGACATCTTGATTATGTCATTATTTTCCCTTTCAGAGTTACATGTGCTGTCCATTTTAGTGGTTGCTGCTGTTGAAAGTCATCAATTGATGTGGTTTCTGCTACAGTTCTTTGTGATTCTCTAGCATCAGTCCATGAGATTTGAAGAAGGATAATTTTGCTAAAACCTACAGACTTCACTCACTCATAGGTATTTTAAATTAATAATCTGGGAAAAAAGTTGTAGACAGCTGACAGTTTAGTTATTTCTGAACTAATTTGGCACCATGTATGATAGCCATATGAAATGAGAGTGAAAAAACTAGAAATAGATTGGTTTGGTTTGGTTCAATGGCTTATTTAATACTAACAAAATTTTTATAGTTGGAAATTTTTTTTTTCAAAATTCTATTTCTGGTAATATTTTTTACTTCAAAAATCTATTTCTGGTTATATTTTTCCTTCAAATATGTATTCCTGGTAATATTTTTTTCTAAAAATGTATAGCTACTAATATTTTTTTTTCAAAAAATATATAGCTGGTAATATTTTTGACAACTTTCAAAAATAACTGGTAATATTTTTTTTTTCAAAAAATTTATTGCTGGGAATATTTTTTTCCAAAAATGTATAGCTGGTAATAATTTTTTCCTTCAAAAATTTATTGCTGGTAATAATTTTTTACAAAGTATTTCTGGTATTAAAACCTATTTTTACCCTTTCATAGTGTTTTAACCCCAGTTTGGGGGTTAACTATTTGCCCATAGCTGGGGGCCTAACAGGTGCCGGGAACCTCAAAACCTCCTGATCAGAGGCCTTGCTGTCAGATGTAGTTTATCATTTTACCCAGGACACAGATGTAGTTTATCGTCATATCCAGGATGGGAAACAGGTTTGTAAACATATGTTTGCATTACTCAAAAGTCAATGATAGTAAATATAGTCTTCTTTGAAAAAGAAACAAAAATGGAAATGGAGAACAAACAAAAAAAGGAATTAAAAGCATTAGTAACCTGAGAATTAGAAAACAACAACTGGATTTAAAATGTTAGAAAAAGCAATATGAGAAAAATTAAAAGAGAAATAAACAAATGAATTGATCAGCAAGAAAGCATATGAAGAAGCTGGTATTGCCAATGTAAACAAAGAGAAAAGATGCAGAATATTAAAACCAATGACAAAAGAGATGTAAGCAATCAAATGTGAGTGAAAAGGTACATGAAAACCAATTTCTCAACAATAATTTTTAGCTTGTATAGCTTCAAATTTGGAGGAATGAGGAAGGAGAAGGAAAGAAATTTGTGAGCCTTTCACAGAAATTTATCAGTAAGTCAAGAAGGAAAGAAATTTGCATGCATATGGGAAAATTTTTAGAGAGACAAGAAAAAGAAGAAAGAAAGAAATTTGCAAGCATATGTGAAAATATTTAGAAAGATAAGAAAAAGAAGGAGAGAAATTCACAAG